GAACAAACCCGAAGCATATTCTAATAAAATTTAATTTTCATATGAAGTGGAGCATTAAGGCCAGCCATAATGCTCTGCTTGTGAAAGTAAATCTGTTGCGCATCACTTTGACACTCAGACAATAATTCTAAGTGTCACAATGTCGGACAGGACAAGGGGAAGAAAAAAAAAACCAGATGGTTTATTTTTGTTGTTGTTGAGGCATTTCATTCTTCATCCCTCCCCAGACAAAACTGTGCACCGTGACAGAGCCTTTTGCTCTGCTGCTCCTCGTCTGTGGAACAACCTCTCCGACCATCTAAGGATATCCCAGACTGCAGAAAGTTTTAAGAAAGGACTGAACACCTTTTTATTTAAAATATTTTATAGTGTTTAAAGTATTTTTAATCCTGCTGTTTTTTTCTTTTGAAATTTTAGTCTGTTTTTAGTCCATGTTTTATTCTATTTAGATATTTTTATTGTAGCACTTTGAGATTGTAAAATGTAAAGTGCAGTACAAATTGAAAACATTATTATTATTATTATTATTATTATTATTATTATTATTATTATTATCCAAAGGACTTCATCAGTCTGAGGAGCCACAACAAACTCAAGTCTCACAAGCAGCACAATCACATAGTGGGCCAACTAGTTTGATGGTTTCTGGGGCCCACCCTCTCCCCTGTCGACACCTCTGAGACAGTCATGCCAAAGTGGTTCAAAACAACAAAGTTCATGCTCAATAATCCAGGTAAAAAATATCCAACAAAGTTCATTCAGATGTTGACTGTGGGACTGAGTTTGTTGTGGCTCCTCGTACTGATGAAGTCCTTTGGATGAAGGGGGAAACATCTCAACAACAAAAAAATAAATAAATCAACCGTCCAGATCCAACAATGTCCATGCTCAATAATCCAGGTATACAATCCAACAATTTTCAGTCAACCGTCCAGATGATCTGATCAAACTTTGTTGGATAATTACTTAAGAATCTTAATATTTCAGTTCTGAGACAAATGATAATAATATATGATATGATAATACGATAAATGATATTAAAAAATAGCAAGTACCCATGCAACATATAAATTAAGTCAAAATACAGATCCAGGTTTTAACAGACACATACGATTATATTTCTGCCAGAAGTGCCTCAAGCTGTTCACTTTAATCGAGCTGATTTCTGTTTTATTCTATATTCAATATGTTCTATATTCTATATTCAAACAGCTATCTACAACACCTAAGATGTTGTTTATTTATAATTTTTCAACTTAACCACACTTCAAAAGATCCAAACTATTGCTTTAATATTAATTTTTGATCAATATTCATAGTAAGTAAAAACGCACAATTACAGTATATGCATTGTAAAAAAAAAAAAAAAGAAGCATTTTTTGCAGGTTCTTGCACTCAGGCTGTCTTTAGTGTGACACACATGCTCTTTAGTTAGAACAATGACGTTTCAGAGCCTTCCTTCACCGCACTGGCCTTTCTCCTTCCATTAGGCCTCCTTTTCTTAAAGGTCATTATCTAGAGGGTGGCAATTAGGAACAACAGACACTAACACAGGATAAATATAATCTGACTGTACTTGAAATTCTATTAAACAGCGATCTTCGCCACCATCATCAAAAGAACCAATGAGTTAATATGTTTTGGAGTATTTTACTATTAATACATCAGAATGTGAGTACAGTCCAGTACATGTTCGTTTATTCTCCAGTCTGATGATACAACCTCAGTTCAGACAATGTAGAGACGATGTGGGAAAATAAAATAAATGTAGTGATTTCTACATTTTAGATTACAGCATTTGTTTTCACTGCAGCTTGTACAACTCAAAGATATGTGGTGTTTTGTCTTACCTGCCTAACGTCATTATTCTGTATTTTAGATGTGTAAAGATAAAACATTTGTTACTTTAATGAAACATTGAACAAATGTTTACTGTCAGTAAAAAAAAAAAGTACCATTACAATTAGAATATTTCCTTTGATTTTAGGAAAACAAACCCTCAAATATGGACATTTGTTCTTGTTAATCCTAATCTTCTCCCCATCTCTGCTTGTGCTGAGCTGATATTAGTACAGTTATACCGGCAGACATATTAAGAAATGGGTGAGAACCCAGATGGTACCAGAAATGCTACAGCGAGCTGCTGCTGCAGCTTCTTGCACTTGCAAAACAAAACAAACATCCGTGTTAACACTTTACTCTTGTGATATTAGTTTGATTAACTAATTTTTGGTGTTATTCTAAATATTGTTGATTAGTTCTGACAAAGGTACAACAACTCGGACAGATTTGTTGTATCTACTTTACAAAATTGCCAGACCTAATTTTATTAGTAAAAGAAAATAAATAAATTAACAGTCAAAAGATTGGCTTGCATTATAACACATGCAATTTTATTGTGCATGTAAATAAACATGTAATGTGAAATCGATGGTGATATAAAAGTCTATAATATGGAAATGGAATGAATCGCTATGAAAGGCTGGAGGTTTGAGGTTTAACCCTCCTGCTGCCCTTGGTTCAAAATGATCCACAAGGCTTTTAACATGTTGTTAGACCCCAGGTTAGCAGACTGATGAAGACAAAGAGTCAGGTGTATAAAAGGTACAGGATTTATTTACAAGTGAAATGTTCTGGGTTGTGCTTGTTTTACAGGTCATGTTGGAGAGGAGGGAGAAAACGAGGTCCTAGGTTTCCCAAAAAATGATGAAAGGTGATCCGGTAGTATTGTTGGAGAGAGGAACAGGTTGAAGGTGCTCGGTAGTTTTTGATCCAGGCTGATGTTTGGCGATTGCACGGACAAGAAGATGACAGGGCGAGGTCACAAGGAGCGAGGAGGTCTCAGAAGACACGGAGGAGCAGGACGTAAGGAATCATAATGTTCCAGCGTTGGATGAATGTCTGGCAGGAGATTAAATGCTCAGGTGAGGAGTGGTGGATGATTAAGATGATTAGCAGCTGTGGACAAAGTGATTGTGGCTGGAAACCTAAGAATCCCACAGCTTTAGTTTTAAAACCAAGTGTCTTTTTGACCCAAGGGCAGCAGCGGGGCTAAGAAAACACCAGTCTACTTCGGTCTTGGTGATTTTTTCAGAACTCTGTACAAAAGGAAATTATTCAAATAGCTGTCTACAACAAATAAAAAACAACTGTTCATGACCTTTCCACAAACTCCATTTCTAAATAGTTGGAATATCGCTTCAAGGACTTCAACTGCATTATTAGAAATAAACATTCTTCAGTAACTCCTGTGCTTAGTTCATAAACTGTGACTCTGTTAATTCGTTTATCCAGGTGAATGAATATCTGAGACAAAACCACATTTCATCCATTCTGCTGAATTAATAAATGCGGAAGGCTCCTGCAGGGTATATTTAGATCAAAGCAGTTTATTATACTGAATGTAAAAGGAGTGCAATAATTAGAAGAGATAGTTTGAACATCCACAGACTTTACTGTTGCTATTCAGACTATCAAAGCCTTGTTCAATATTTGATCAGCCCTGGCAGGTAATTACATCACTGTGATTCACGGAGGTAATTTCAACACTTTGACCGAGGAGGACAGGCAGCTCATGCTGCAAACTGACACCAAACAGGACAAAAAGCTCGATACAGACGTTTTATTGACAACACCAGATCCAGGATTATTAGGTGTGACTGACTGACAGGTGCACAGATTATTTTATCCTTTCTTTTCTCACCAGCTCTGTGAATCTGCTTGAAACGGTGGTTTTGGCATGAATGGTGACCTGGCCAGACTCCTTCCTTCTTGCTTCAAACTTTAAGTTTTGTGATCAACACTGTCTGTTAGCAAAACATCTCATGAACCGGTGGAAGAATTTTAACGAAACCCTCAGGAGGAATCTGTGGGTGTGCATCTACAACTGATTAACACCTGAAGTTATAGCTGATAACAGCTAAGTCAACAGAAAAAGTGAATATAATGTAGTCCTTTTTAAAGATTTAGAGAAGATATTTAGTAAAGTCGTAGCTGAGAGTGATTTCAAACACATACCCTGAAGGCTAACACAATGAACAACACATCAGAGAAATTCCCAACTGATAACCAGCTGAATAAACTTGTGTCATCATTTCAGGACTCTTGGATTCTCATAGACGTTATTCTTGGCCATTCCTCGACATCCCTTGAGAATGTTTATGGATCTCACCGGAGGACATTGGCTGATTATTCCATCCTTATCAGAACTCTTACAGTGACCTCGAGAGCATCTATGAACATTGCTGACTGCTCTCGTCGTCCCCCTCTGCAGAATGTCTACGTCACAATGTGCTTGTTTGTGCGAGGTGTTTTTTAATATTAGTTTTTTTTCCTCAGGCAGGAAAAAAATGTCTGATAGGATTTTTTTTTGCCTCCAACTCCTACATGTGTCCATTTTACCACTTTTATTGTCTGTCCAAACAGGTCTCACTTGTAAATGAGTCTTTGAGGCTCAATGTGATTTATCTGTTTAAATAAAGATTGAATGAAAGTTATTTTCAAGGTTTAGCAATAACTCCGTCAACATGTAATGTGACATAAAAGGCCACTAACCATTCCTTCAAGGCATGCCTGGTCTTTATTTATTTATATGTATTACTGTTTTATTAATATTGTATCTGTTTTTGCTAGAAAGTACTTTGTTTTTCAAGCAGCTCATCAAAATGTATAAATGTTCTATTTAATGTACAATGACGCATGTGCACATTAAAGTACAGAAAGGAACAGCATTTTGTCATCTGAAGTTGTTTTTTCTAAAATCTAAAATAATAAATAAATAAAATAATAAAAATTTCCTACCAAAAAAAAAATAGTACATCCAAAATAAAACTCAAGCTGTAGAGTGATTAAATAGCCCGGCTGTGGTTTGGAGAACAGTCTCCTCTTTACGCACGGACAGCTTCATGCCTGAGCCGAGCGCGCGCAGGCGCGAAGAGGAACCCACTCCAACACGCTCCGCGCGCCACATCTCTCCTAAACGGACCAACCAGTCTGCTCCCAGCACTCCGGGACAGCTGCAACCCTCGACTCCTCCGCGCGTCACGAGCTGCTGCGCCCACCATGGAGCTCCCTTCAGAGGACTTCACGGAGCGCCCCTCAGCGTCTGCAGCTGCTTTCAACGCCTCCTTCTCGGAGGACCCGCTGCTGGAAGCGTCAAACAGCAACGGCAGCAGCGGAGCCGCAGCCTGGAGCACGGCGGGGCTCTCCATCGCGGTGTGCATCACCGCGCTCTACTCCCTCATCTGTGTGGTGGGGCTGCTGGGGAACGTGCTGGTCATGTACGGAGTGGTCCGGTAAGAGTCACAGCAATAACAATAAGAGTTGGTCTGATTATAGGTGGAAAACAACACACTCCAAGATAGTAAGTTAAACCAGTTATTGATTATTATAATAATTTGCGAGTCTGATACAACAAAAATGTATTTTTTTAATCTAATTGTTTTAATGTTGTTCTGTCTAAAAAGCCTCTCCAACACGCACATCACAGATTCCCATTAACTGCGCTGTGATCAGCAGGGGAGCACTATCTGAACCATCAAAGGAGAGAGTGGGGTCCCACAAACTCACATCTTTATCGTTTTAATGATTTTATACATTTGAGCTTTAAGATCATTTAATGCCTAGCATTCTTTGGAGGGATGCACATCACCTGTTGCCTTTCAACTAAGAATATCTTACGATGATGAGACATGATGATATATGTGATGCAGCTGGGGGTTGAGGATGACTCTCAGCTACTACCACTCCAAACATTAACTGAAAACCAACTGGATAAGTAATGTATTGTTGGCTTAAGATGTAAAGTAATTAGCTGTGGTGGGCATCTTGAATTTGGTGAACTTCAAATGTTAATAAGTTTATTGATTATTTCTTGAAATTTACATTACACGCTATCTGGGATATTTTGCTGACAGACAGACAGACAGGACTGAAACCACCAAACGTTTTCAGTAAAGATGATATGCAATGCGTAGTACTTGGGAGCATGCATTGTGAATGATTCTCAGCTACTACCACACCAAGTTTTAGCTCAGTGGTCACCTGTCAGCTTGTTGTGATGGTTAGGTAATCAACTGTAGATGTGCATTCAATGATTAAGTTCTAAACGCTTTGTCAAATCTGTCCTTTGGTTCAAATGATGTTTTCCTTATGCGACAGACACACATCCAGTCATAATGAACGATAAAACTATCTCCGTTTGCCTTTGGCAGTGGGTAATAACGACTGAGCAATAACGTGACCGTTTGGTCGTCTGTGTATTTGACATTCTTAGAAAGCTGCACCACAACATGAGAGTTTCAATCTCCAGTCTCAGTGCAATCAAACAAATGGAACATAAAACATATTATAAGCAGAGGGCCTGTCCAGCACATCACATTCTGAGGGCAGTGCATGATATATCATGTGATAAATAAAATGTAATGCCCCCCATTGTCATTTCTCATTCTTTTAGAGCCTGTTGTTGTGTGTACTCCATCCATCCAACCATCCATTATCTTTACAGCGTCTTCCTTTTTGGGTCGTGGAGTCTAGTAAGGGGGAAAAGAAAGCACTCAGAAACGTAATTTAATCTGAAGTCACTTGTTGTTTGGAGTTCTAGACATTTTTTTAAACAAGTAGCGAACTGTTCTGCTTGTATTCAGGTAAAACACATGTTAAAGAGAACAAATTTGCTACTGAAAGAGTGTGTTTTGAAGTATTTTCAAGAATCAACCAACTCACTGCAGAGAAACTAGAGTTATAGGAGGCTTACAGGCCTATCTTGGAGCCTACAGAGGATTTGGTGCCATGGCATGACTAACAACATGGCTCCCAGTCTCATTTTATAAGGCTGAGTTCGTTGCTCAAATCATAAATTCAGATCTTTTGAAGTGGGGAACCATAAAACGGTCATGAATACTTAATATCTTACCTGCTGCAGATAAAATGGAACAATTTCAATTTGGAGTAACAGTATAATTCTGACCAGACTGACAAGTTAATGGTTAGTTTGAGTAAGACCAAAGTGGATTTGTGCCATAAATAACTATTCTTAAACTTTTATATCTGTTACGAGTGAGCTGTTTGACAAACTTTCACACTGCCTGTCAGTTTTTCATCATGTTTTTAATACTTAAAACTTTTACTGTTTTCCTACTTTCATTGCAAATAAAACCTAGATTTGTAGATGAGCTTGTTTGCCTGAACCAAATGGAGAAGCGAAAGTTGAGATACAAGTTCTTTAACAAAAGAGCGGTTTACAGTGTTTCCCCTACCATTATACAAGCAGGGCGCCCCCTGCCCTGTCAACAGAACCGAGCGCCCTGCTTTCTGACCCAAACTGCGTGCACCCCCATCAGCACTGGCGTAGTAAGCTAGCAGTGCACAATACACGTGTGCTAGCTAAAAAGCTAAAGGCAGCGCTCATGCTGCCTCTTCCCTCACACTGCTCCCCTGCTTGTTGTTGTACAAACAGTGCACAGCGGTCGACAAAAACAAAATCAATGAGATGAGCGCCCTGCCATGGCAAGTTATGGAGAAACACTGGTTTGGTAGTGGATCCCTCTCAGACTAGCCATCAGCTCATTAATCTAGCCAGAAATTAACTAATTCTCTAAACCGAGGCCTTTCAGACAGCTATCTGCAAAAGGTAAGACACTTATTGTTCATAACCTTTCCACAGAATGCCACTTCAAAAGATCTTAACCTTCTTTTTAAAGGGAACTGTTAAATTGTTTTTTAAAGGAATGATTTTATTCAACTATTTAGCTTTAGCTTTGATCTGTAGGTGATATGAGAGTAAATTTGTATCTGCAGGTATGTTGATGTATATGTAGCTATGCATGCATGTCTGCGTGTATACAGTTACCAGAATCAGAATATATTATCAATGCACAGAAGCACAAAAACATTACAGATTTTTTAAATCCTTATATGAGTATTTAGTTGGTAGTTGTTTACTTGTTTTGTTGAAATTTCAACTGTTCAAAATGAAATTAAAAATATATATATAAACTGGGACGGGCAGCACGGTGGCGCAACTGGTAGAGCTGCTGCCTCTCAGCGAGCAGGTCCTTGGTTCAAACCCCGGTCCAGGGGCCTTTCTGGGTGGAGTTTGCATGTTCTCTCCGTGCATGCGTGGGTTTTCTCCGGGTACTCCGGTTTCCTCCCACAGACCAAAAACATGCATGTTAGGCTGATTGGTAACTCTAAATTGTCCCTAGGTGTGAGTGGGGGAGTGAATGGTTGTTTGTCTCATTTGTCTCTATGTGTCCCTGTGATGGACTTGCGACCTGTCCAGGGTGTACCCCGCCCCTCGCACAGTGATTGCTGGACATGGGCACCAGCGACCCCCGTGACCCAAAATGGAACAAACGGGTAAAGAAAATGGATGGATGGATGGATATAAACTGGGTTATAAACCCAACATAATTTGAATTATTTAGTATAACTCTCCTCTTTGTGTCCTTGCAGCAGTTACAACTTGAGAAAATGTAACATTTCCAGCAGCTAACTAAAACTTTACAAGGTTTTCTGAGAGTCAAATGAAAATGTTCGGTGCTGTTTTCCTTCCTCTACCCACCCAGGTACACGAAGATGAAGACAGCCACGAACATTTACATCTTCAATCTGGCTCTGGCCGACGCTCTGGCAACCAGCACCCTTCCCTTCCAGAGCGCAAAGTACATGATGAGGACGTGGCCTTTTGGGGAGCTGCTGTGCAAAGTGGTCATCGCCATCGACTACTACAACATGTTCACCAGCATCTTCACGCTCACCATGATGAGCGTGGATCGCTACATCGCAGTCTGCCACCCAGTGAAGGCCCTGGACTTCCGCACGCCCGCAAAGGCCAAGCTCATCAACGTCTGCATCTGGATCCTCTCTTCCGCCGTCGGAGTGCCGGTGATGGTCATGGCTGTTACCAAGGTGACAGATAAAGGTGGGTGAGCTTAATTTTTTTAAGTTAGCGGGAGAGGGGGAGGGATGTAAAATGCTGCCTCAGCTTGTGTTAGTACAGTGAACCCTCGTTTTTCACGGGGGTTACGTTCCAAAAACAACCAGTGATAGGCGAAATCCGTGAAGTAGTAACCTTTATTTTTTTTACAATTATTATACAATGAAATACTCCATAATACATTCAAACCAAAGAACAAAACCTTTTTACAGGCCCAAGCATTTGTTTAACAAATAAAAGTACTGTATAAATGTTTTTTACAAATAACTACAGTAACTACTGAGACTGTTTAGCCAATCAGAATGCAGAACACAATGCATGATGCAAATCCGTGAAGCAGCGAGACTGTGAAAGGTGAACCGTGTTATAGCGAGGGTTCACTGTACAGTATTTATACTAAAGGAGAATTTGAGCTGGATTACAAACTTAGATTAGCTTCTGCGTTTTAACCCCCCTGACTGTTTTGACTCCTCAGGAAATACAGTTTGCACGCTCTGGTTCCCTAAACCAGAATGGTACTGGGACACGGTGACAAAGATCTGCGTCTTCATCTTTGCCTTCGTGGTGCCTGTCCTCGTCATCACCATCTGCTACAGCCTGATGATCCTTCGCCTGCAAAACGTCCGACTTCTGTCGGGCTCTAAGGAGAAGGACAGGAACCTGCGGCGGATCACCCGCATGGTTCTGGTGGTCGTGGCAGCCTTCATCATCTGCTGGACCCCCATTCACATCTTCATCATCGTCAAGACGGTGGTGGAGATTGACCAGAAGAACATGGTGGTGACGGCCTGCTGGCACCTGTGCATCGCTCTGGGTTACACCAACAGCAGTCTGAACCCCATGCTGTACGCCTTTCTGGATGAGAATTTCAAGAGGTGCTTCAGGGACTTCTGCATGATCCATCGCTCTCGCTTGGAGCAGAACAGCTTCTCTAGAGCTCGCAACAGCGCCAGAGAACCTGCGACGGTTTGTGCTCCTGCAGCGGCTCAGAGGGCTCCTGGCTGACTAAACGCGCATCAGATGGATCAGCTCTGTCTGACGACACACAGCTCTCCATCACTGGAGTCAGAGTCCACAGATGTTTGACCTACTAAACCATAAACCATGGACTGCTGTGGACATGTCAGGAATCGTCTTTGTCTTACTTCAAAAACAGATATTGTCAGAGGAGGATGACAAACGAACCCGTGTGTGGCTGTGCATAACAAAACGTAGACGACAGGACTTGAAGAGTTCACAAAAAGCATGTTTGGTGGTTTGTTTAAATTGTAATGAAAACCTTTTGGCTCTAATTTGTCCCTATTTGAAGCTAATGTTCAGTTTAAACACACATTAAGGGAGAAGTCATGTATGCTGTGTCTCTGTGTCACACAGATCTATGATAATTAACCTGGCAGACAACAAAATGGTCTAAAGGAAAGCAGCTCACTGTTGTGGGTTTTTGTGGCTTGTGTATTGGTGTTTTTTTTATCAGCCTTACAGATCACAAGTTGTCTTTAATGTCGACTGGACTGACCTGGACAGGAATAAGTGAAAATACTTATGGTGACAATGCAGATAAATGACATCTGTGGCTCAGATAAGAGCACCGTTTCAAAGTAAAATGTCCTGTGAGTTTGTGTAAAGAAGTAGTTTAGATTATTTTACGTGGGGTTCTGTGAAATGTTGTGAACAATTAATATCTTACCTGATGTAGACAGCTCTTCGAATGATCTCAGTTTCAGGAAATAGGGTTTAGTTATGACCTGGTTGACAAGCTAATGGCTAGTCTGTTAGGGACCATGATCAAATGGATTTCTGATATTTTAAAACAATGTAATGTTTAAAAAAAAATCACAGTAATTCATGCAAACAGAATTATTTAAATCTTTACACTGTCATAAGTTTTGCATTGCACATTTGTTTTACTAAGAATATTATAATAGCTCTGAGGATGTGACCCCAGGCACCAACAACAGTGCTACAGTGCAACGGATCAGAGGCACCACCAACATCTGCTAATAGGGTTAATAATTTGTTAAACCTTAGTTGACTTTGCTCAAAAGTCACATGACTTGATGCGTGGCTGCAAACACTTTGCTTGCAATTCTGAGTCACCAACAAATTTTGAACAGTGATGGTCCAGTGAGATACTTTCAGCATCCTTTTGTTTGGAGTGGATTCTTAATTTCTCTTAAACATTTGAGATCAGTAAAACCTCATTAGCATATAAAAACATTGTTTTTGAACAATTATCATTTAAAAAATTGATAAAAATCAATTTAAACGTTTTTTTTTTTCCTGATTAAAGACAACAGCTTAGAGTTAAACAGAATATAGTTTTATTGTCCAGAAAGCCTGTTGTGTCATTTTTCTTTCAACCTTTATTTATACAGGTTAATCCCATTGAGCCTCGGGGACTCATTTACAAGAGAGACCTGGATTTTAACAAAACGTGATGACAACAGTGGACAACAATAACAACAATAGACATTCACAAATGATGCAAACAAATTTAAGTGTTTTTATTTTTTTATTTTTTTTACAATTGAAAACAAAATGATAATTAAAAGGAAACGTCGCGAAAAACCAGCTAGATTACGAGGCGGTGTAGAAAACTAAAAACAGGAACATGTCTGCATTGGTTCTTGCCAGGAACTTAACAGATGTTTAAAGCCACTTAGAGAGGTCAAGGTCGAGAGCTTCATATCTTTTTGCAGATCTTTTTCAAGTCATATTAGGATGTAGAGGAGCATCAGGTTTAGATGTGCCACAGTGACACCCCATCATTAAGATTGGCTCCCACCTGGCCACATCTTTGAAAACTTCCTGGAGGTGTGCCTGTAACAGCTACTACTACTGTCTGTATTTGGGCATGCAAATGACCACATAGTAACATGTAACCATGTAAAGTGAAACTGAAAACACAGGATCCGGGAACGCTCTTATTTTGACAGAGTGCGTTCCAGTAACTGTTTGAATGGATCTGGTAACTCTCAGGCTTACTAATAATAAAGTTATGAACTTTAATAAAGTTTAATTTTCAACCTTTAATTAGACAGGTAAATCCCATTGAACCTCGAGGACTCATTTACAAGAGAGACCTGATTTCAACAAAGAATGATGACAACAATGGACAACAGCAACAACAATAAACAGTTATAAAAAGTCATACTTTTTTATTTTATTTTTTAACAAATAGGATGACTAAAAAAAAATTAATGAAATAAAAAATAAAGTTGTGACTGCCTTGAACAAATGAAACATATATTGGACATGTAAACTGAAAATAATAACATAAACACTAATTTTAAACACAACAGCCACTTACGACTTCTTAATATCACATACGATCATCTGCCCCTTCAAGTGAAGCATTTCTGCCTCTACCCTTAAAAAAACCTCCGCCCCTAAGAGTAGTGGGGATGAGTGCTGCCGATCGAGCTAACCAGTTTACCATTTATCTGCATTTACAAATGTAGGTAAACGTAGATGTTTAACAACTCGTTTATTCAAAAATTTCTCGGGGAAGACCCCCAGACCCCCCCCCCCCCCCCCCACCCCCAGCCTGCCTGCTATTTGCATTCCAGCATCGATCGGTTTACAAATTAAGCCCTGCCAGTCAATATTCAAAGTGTTTTATGTTTGTTTTGTTCTTCCTTTTCCCTTACCCTTCAAGTGCACTTGTCAGGGTGATACAGTAAATAAGAAACTGTTCTTAATGTCCCACCTGCTAAAATAAAAGTTAAATAAAATAACAAATAACAATAATAAAAAACAAAAAGCCAAGTACAAAAGATAAGATATTAGCTGATGATCTCAACTATTGTGCACATAATCTCGAAAAATGACTTTCTATTCATGAAAATTGTAAGAGCCTTTAGGATGAAAGGCCATAACTTCAAAGTAACTAGAGTAAAGCTCTCCCAACATTTTCTAATCAAAACATTGTTGCACTTTGCAGTTTTGAATTATGAAACATATTTAAAATAAGCATCCCAGCCAACTGTTACATTATTCACACTGTTTTGTAGAGTATGAAATCATAGCATGACCATGATAATGAAAAAAAAACTGTGAAAGATCGCAGATACTAGTCATCCAGGACATGGTAAACCCAAAAAAGATTTAAAACAAAACAACTGGACTTATTTTGTCACTGAAGGCGTTTCGCTTCTCATCCAATGAACTGTTTTAAACCTTGTTTTGGATCAAGAAAATGAACGCCTTCTAGATCAGGGTGGCTTTGTGGATGCTGTGTTCCTTGACCTGAAAAGTGCTTTTGACACCATCAACCACAACTTTCTTCTCGCTAAACTAACTCATTTTAATGTCTCTAATAGTGCCCTCTATTGGATGAAATCAGATGTGTCTGACAGAAAACAAGCAGTACAAATAAAAAACTCACCTGCTCAGCTGGAGTCCCACAAGGCTCAATACTGGGAGCAGTCTTGTTTAGCCTATAATGATTTACCCAACGTCTGCAAAACTGTAAAAATACAATTATATGCAGATTGTATGGTATGTTCAGGGAAAAACAAAAAATGAAGCTGCTGCTGTACTTTCTAGTGCCATGATGCAGGTGTCTCACTGGCTCCAGGACTCTTGTCTACATCGTAACATTAATAAACAGTCTATATGATTTTCTTTCAGCTGCCAGCAGATAATGAGAAACCATCTGTGTTAGTCAACAGAGAGACATTAGATGTGGTTGAACAATTTAAATACCTTGGAGTAATTTTTGATTCCAAACTAAATTTCAAGCAGCATGTAAGGATAATTTCACTTCTGTCAAACTTCAAACATATAAGACCTTCTCCGACAACAGAATCAGCAAAGGCTGACATGCATGCCATGATATTCAGTCGTCTATTGTTATATCACATGGTCTCACACTTCAGCGGCCATTTTGATGCCCCTAAAGTCTCTTTTAAAGAAAACACTGAACATTTTCAACAAAAAGCTTTTACAATAGCATTATTGTAACATCATAACTACAACATTCTGGATTTTGATAGCTATCAGATGTTTATGGATGCGTGTCTGATTTTTAAAGTTTTAAATAGACTTGCTCCTCCTCCTTTAATGTATTTTAAAAGTAAAAAAAAAAAAAAAACACAATACAGTAAACACAAGGGCACTGACCAGAGGAGATTGTAATGTACCGTGGCGCAGGACTAAATTTGGCCAAATGGTAGCGTCCATCAGAGGCACGCAGTCGTGGAACACACTGACAGTTTCTATCAGGAACTGTGGCACCTACTCCAGCTTTAAAAATTCTTTGAAACATCGGCTGAAAACTAACCAGAGGTGCACTCATGTGTAGACTTTGTTTATTTTCTTATGGCATCATCCCTTTATTGTAATTTCATGTTGTGTTACGAGTTATATAGTTGATGTTTGTATTATTCTCTGCTCTTTGTTTTGTGAGATGTTTCTTGTTCTTACCTGCCTTAGGACAACGGATGAAAATTAGCTGTTGTGCTAACATATTTACATTGATGCCTACTGCTGACATGTGGATTCATATGCATTGTCCTAATTTAAACAAATAAATAAAAATTAATGAATTGATAAAATCCAGATGAGTTTATTGTGACAACTGTTTTTAGTGAATTATTGTGCGAGCTGGACTCGCTGTCCATAACTGTCAAAAATAACTTGTCATCAATAACAATAATATTATTTAGATTAATCATATGAAAATGTTCATTTTAATTATTCTTTTTAAATACATTTAAATTTACATGTACTGTTTCCTCTTGTTTTACTTTACCTTTTTTTATATTTCTACACTTATTTGCTCTCTTTTCATTTAAGTGTAAAAAAAACCCTCTATGGTGTTAGTTAGCATTTTTATGAGCTTCTTTTCAGTGCTGAGTTTATTTGATTTGATTTTTTAAGTCCCTATAATTAAAAACGTAACAGCATATTATCCTGATGCATGCTCAACGTAACAGCATCTTTAAAGCTTTATTTGGATTGAGGCGTTCAAATGATTCAAAGTGTTACTGTCATGCGTACAA